ACACACACACACACACGACACACACACACACACACACACGCACACACACACACACACACACACGCACACACACACCTACCATGCGGCGGGAACACCGACCTCTCCGCTGCCATATCCTCTTCCTCCTCCTCGTGCTGTTTTCACTTCAAGCGCTTACGTCATGCGCGCCAGCACCCACACAGCAACAACTACAACAACAGCAACCACAGCCACAGCACCGAAGGTCTCTGTTGTCGATTGTGGCAGATGACGACGATGATCCCGCCGACGGCGATTATGAAGACGACGACGACGACGACAACGGCGGCGCCAACGCTGCCGCCAACACCATCAGCAGCATAGAAGGCATAAAGGACGGTTTGCACGGAGGTGGCAGGGGCGGTGCACCAGCAGCAGAGACGACGTCAACGTCGACGGCGGCAGCGACGACCATGGGTTTCCTGGATGCCATTGCGCCGAAAGTGCGCCAGAACGAGCTGGACGCGTCGCTGCCGCGGGTTGACGTGTTTCTGATTCACCTGCGCAAGGCCGGTGGGCGCACGATTCGGTGCACGTTCTCGAGCAACGGGATGCGGCCCAAGTTCAGCAGGCGCCTGCCGCAGCCGCTGGCCGATGTGCTGTCGGCGGTGACGCGGGGGCACTCCAAGGCCTGGCACGTGCGCAAGATGTACGAGGAGGCCAAGCAGGAGCGCCCGAAGGACGTGCAGCTGCTGACGACGATTTTGCGGGAGCCGACGGCGCGCGTGCTCTCCGCGTTCAGCACGAGCCTGGGCCGGAGCAGCGACATCCACAAGAAGAAGGTGGTCAAGGGGTGCGCGTATGTGGGCCACGTGCACGTGTGTGGGGACGCGGTGCGCGACCTGGCGGCTGGGAACATGACGCTGCACCAGTTTGCCACCTCAACCTCGACCGAGATGGCCATGAACTACCAGCTCCAGCACCTGAGCGACACGTACCGCCCGCTCGGCACGCTGGACGAGGAGGAGCGCTCGCGCGTGCTGCGGGTTGGGCTGGACATGCTGTCGGCACTGGACGTGGTGCTGCTTGCGGACCGCTACAACGAGAGCTTGGCCATCCTCAACTGCTGGCTGGAGGAGAAGGTGGGCCGGCAGCTGCAGCACATCAACCTCTGCTCCAACTGGAACCCGCACACGCACACACAGCAGCACACAGGCAGCCGTGGTGGCACGGGGGATGTTGGGGATGGCGGCCGTGGTGTTGGTGATTCTTTGGGTGTGCATCACCACGCGGCCGCGGCGGCGGCAGCAGCGGCAGTGGCAGCACCCAGACGTGGCGATGGCGGTCGTGCTGACGATGCCGCGGCCGTTGCCGCTGCCGAAAGGGAGGAGGCGGTGAGGGTGCTGCGGCAGCGCAACTCGCTCGACCACGAGCTGTACACGCACGCGTTGATGAAGTTTGCGCTGCAGCGGCGTCTGTACGCCGAGCGCCAGTGCTTCAAGCGGGTGCTGTCGAGCCTGCATGCGTGCACGCCGACGCCGCTGTACATGCACAAGAGCGACGCACGGCTCGGCGGGCGCACGATTGAGGAGGCCGTGAGGAACGTTCAGGCGAGCGACGCGTACAGCAACGAGACCAGCGGCACCACCAGCGAATCCATCATCAAAGTGCAATCATGTCCCATCAACCACACCAGCTAGCGGGGATGTGTGTGAGTGTTGGGCGGGAGGAGGGGGGGGGACTTCTGTGTGCTGTGTGTGTGTGTGTGGGGGGGGGGACTGTGTGTGTGTGTGTGTGTGTGTGTGTGTGTGCATTTGTGTGCTCTGTGTGTGTGTGTGTACGAGCGTTTGTACACTCTCTGTCTCAGTCTATCAGTCTTTCTCACTCACTCACTCACTCTCTCTCTCTCTCTCTCGGTCTCTCTCTCTGTGCGTTGTACCCAGTGTCCTTTCCCTCGATGCCTCTCGCTCTCTTCCCCTCACCGTCTTCCTCTTGCCAGGATTCATCATAGAACGCACGCACTCTCTGTTCCTCCGCGTGACATTGTGTAGAGCGTCATGAACAGTCCTCTTGTTCCTCCCGTCATGTGACGTCCGTGGTGGCTGACATCATTTTGTTGTCGTTGTGGTTGGTGTCACATCATCACATCACAGTTCCGAGAACTCGCATGACGTGATGAGCATTCACGCAACACACAACACACAACACAACACACATGCACACACAGACACACACACACACACACACACACACACACACACAGATACAGATACAGACACACACATAAACAGACACACACACAACCACACACAACCACACACACACACAACCACACACACACACACACACACACACCACACACACACACACACACACACACACACACACACACACACACACACACACACACACACACACACAGACACAACCACGCAACACCGTTCCCATTGCGACACTTGCGTCAACTCTTTTCCCAGAAAATGACATCACCAGAGCGCCAAAGCTAAACCTTTTGCTTGGTTCGAGGCAGCGTTGTCGTGTGGCGATGCCGATTATTGTCTAATATCATCAGCTATCTTTCGGCGATTTCGTCAATCCCATTTAAAACGATAGGGATGCCGTTGTTGCGTTCCGACCGCAACCACCGCAACCACACACACGAACGCCACGCCACACCACGCACACGAGCATGCGTCCTGCGTCGGTCGTGTTGCTGTCTTCGCTGCATCTGTCCTTTCGTCATTCACGCTTCTGACCGCCCCCTTCACCGACCGCACTACCCTTACCGCCTTCTCCCTCCTTCTCCTCTTCGTCCACCCCCCCCCACGTTCCTTCCTTTCCTTTCCTTTCCTTCTCCCGATCGTTCTGCATTCAGCCACGCACCTCCTTCAATTGTTTGGGTGCACGGTACCCCTTAAACTCATTTCTGTCGTCATCGCATACCTTTGACATCACATCACCACGAGGGTGCTGCTGCTGTCTTCTGCCGTTGTTCTCTCCTTCTCTCATCGTGCGCCTGTCCATCTCCACACTCCCTTCCCTTGTTTCTTTTGTTTTGTCGTTGCCTCCCCACCCCCATTGTTCTGCCCTCTCCTGGTTCATTTTCATTTTCATCTCACGCGCCCTTTCTTCCAAGACCCTCTGACGACCGCCCCACCAGCACTCCCTCCCGACTTCCGTGTATCCGTTCCCCGTCAACGCCCTTCCCCTCTCAGCATCCGTTTCCCATTATCGCCCTTCTCATCAACCCGCGTCCTTCGTCTTCTGTCCTCCCTTTCCACCACCCACCCGCCCTCCCCCCCCCCCCTTTCTTCCAACATGGGCGGTCCCCAGGACACCATGTCGACATATGCTCCCTTGGCCCACCACCCGGCCTTTGCGCAGTACGCTCAACCGCAAGCGCCACCAATGCAGCAGCAGCCGCAGCCGCAGCCGCAGCAACACCAGCTGCCGCAACACCAGGCCATGTTCATGCCCAACATGCACCCGCAGTTCCAGCCCCTCATGGCCCTGGCCACCGCCGCCAACATGGCTCCCCAACTCGCCCCGCCATTCGGCCACCCAGCGCCCATGGCGAAGGCAGCGCCCACCCCACAGGACGACGCCGCGCACGGCTCCCACGCGCTCATGCAGCACCTGTGCCACGCCGTCAACACGTCCTCGCAAATGTCCCACTCTGACTCTGACGACGCGTCCTCCTCCTCCAAGCAACAGCACCACCACCTGCACCAACAGCAGCAGCACCAACAGCAGCAGCGGCAGTCGCCACATGAGGCGACCGTCGCCTCCTTTCCCGCCACAACCACAACCGCCGCACCGCCAGTCGGGTCGTGGTTCATGCCGCAAGCTCCTTTCTACTTCCCTGTCTCCCAAGTGAGTTGACAGCGTTGTTGTTTTGTGCTTGGTTTGACCTCGCTTCTTGGTTTTGTTGTCTTTCATGCCGGCCTTCCTACCACCACCCCAACCACGTGCTGTGCCTCAACCATGTGTTGTCCCTCAACCATGTGCTGTGCGACCACTTGAACGTCACGTGTGGCCCTCACCATTCACACCATGCTCACCCTCAAACAACCAACCCCTGTCGCCGTCTGGTCGTCACAGGCAATGCCAGCAGCATGCTGGGCGCCAACTATGATGCCGTCGACCACGTTTGTGTCCATGGCGCAACACCAGTTCCAGCAACAACAGATGCAACAACAACAGCAACAACAACAACAGCAACAGCCACAGCAACAGCCAGTGACCGCGCCCTTGTCAGGTTAGATACCAGCGAGCGTGCCACTTGTTGTAAGCAATGGCACACACACACACACACACATGAACACGCGCGCGCACACACACACACACACGCACACACACACACACACACACACACACACACACACACACACACACACACA